TGATGCCCTTCAGAAATTAAATTGGGTAGAACTAAATACAAGACGTCAACAACATCGTTGCATTGCAATTCATAAGTGCCTTCATGGCACTATGGACACAGAATTAATACTGATTCAGAACTGCAACCCCCATAGTTACTCCACTCGTCGGAGTGCCAACCTTTATCTTCCAAAAGTTAAAACAGAATGGGGAAAACAACGCTTTATGTATCAGGCAGCAAAGGATTGGAATGACTTAGATAATGACATTAAGAATATAGCTAATTTTAATATTTTTAAAACAAAACTTCTCTCTTAACATTTTACCATTTAAAGTTTAGCATATTTTTAACTTTTTTTTAATAGTATTATAACTTAGGATAGTTTTCTTACAGATATTCATATATGTATAATATTGTATTTGTGGTGAGGGCTTCATTGAAAAGCATCTTGGGATGAATGAATTCCCTCAATAAAATATTATTATCATATTATCAAGTGTCTATATTCAATAATTATAAATCAAGCAAAGTTATACAATTTATATTGTTGCTATGTTATGTTAGATGAAGACTTGCCACAAGTCGACCATGGGGGAGGGAAGGCGCGGGGGATGGAGCGCGCGACCCGAGCGACGAAGTCGCGAGTGGTCGACTTGTGTCGCTTGCAGGAATTTAAATCGCATTACAAATTTTGGCGCGAATAATTTTGACATAAAAGGGTGTGTACATTTCATACAATTACTTCACCGCGCCGACAATGGGTCTACAAAAACACAAGAACATTCTCAAGAATTGATATTTCTTTGTCCTCTAATGAAACAGTTTGCACGGAGTGTGTAAACAAAAAAACTGACCCAAGTAAGCGCCGAAAGCTGTTCAATGTTCAAAAAAAACAAGTGCATGTAAAAACTTATTGAATCTGGACAGTTGTTTGTTGTTTGTGCCGTAATTGTGTCGACAAGAATAGTAATTTATTAGACTTATTATAGAAAGTTCATTCAGTTCGCGAGCGATTTAACGTAGTAGAAGTTAATCTAATTGAAAAGAATCAGACAACTGTAACCAAGAAGCAGAGAGGCGGCGATTGTGATCAACGAGAAGACGTCGCTAGAGTTCAAAATCCAGTAAAAATACGCGTTGTTTTCTCAACAAACGAATTTGTAATAATCAGTGATCGAGATCAAGAAACCCAAACCAAACCCGAAACTAGTGAGGAAATTTTATAATCATCAGATGCATCTTCGGTGATAGTAGTAAAGTTTATTTCTACTTTTAATGTACTCAATGTAATGACTGTTTGTGTATTTTCACATGGTTTTTGTGTTCTACAAAATTGTATTTACATTGTTTACTCTATTTGCTTCGATAATACACATTTGTTCAACAAAAAAGCGTGAGAATATAATATTATTTTTCGACTCCTTCGAAAGTGTAAACAATGACGTCACCGGTGGATTTTTTCACCGGTGATATTTGGCTCGCTGCAAGTGACAAAAGTCCTTTCCACAGCGGAAGTGAAGCGCGCCATAGAAGGGTCTGGAAAGGACTTTGGAAAGTCTATGTTAGATGTTACGCTCAAGATTATTCTACTGCATGAATATTAACCAGCCTGCTATCCAGCTGACTAAAATTTAAGACAGCCATCTAAAATTAAATTTGGATTGTCACTTGAAATCTATAAATAATACAGGGATCGATCCAGCATGATCTGGTAGGGGACAGCTCGGGTGCAGAGTTGTGTCGGTCATGTGTGCCATCCACTTGCCCATGAACATAATGTATTTGAATTATTGTTGTTCACAGTTTGCTTATCATCATGTTACTGCTCAAATTACTGTATCTCATTTTGTCTCTATTATTTGTTGCTTTATCATGAAAAAAAGACCCCCTGCATCCCCTCCTGTCAGGGCCTGGAGGGTGCAC